CCTCGAAGGACAGTACACTGTTGTCACTCCAGTAGTATGTGTTTTCTATGTCTGGGAAAATCCATCTACCAGTCTGGCGACCACTGTAGACATCCGAGTTTTCACAATAGATATTGATTTGTTTTTCGCCAGTAACACGAAGGTCCTCATACCACTGATATCCACACTTGGTCGAGTAGGTACCTGTGATCAGGAAGAGATGGTCGGGTATTCTGATGCGCTTATCGTCAGCAAGACGTTGCATATTTGAATAGAGGAAAGAGATGAGACGCTCAATCGCAGATTCAATGAATGCAGTATAGACAATTGGCTCTATCGGTAGTACGATACTCGATATTCCTTCAAATTTGAGCGAAGCCATGTACTGATAGTCAGAAGCCTCATTATTGGACCTATCAATGAACAAGCATCAGAGATATGTGAGAGAATTAGTGGGAGAGTTCAGTCGATTAAACTTACTGGTAATTCATTAAGCGTAGGCCAAACATTATAGGTCCGCGTTGAACTGTTTTCGTTTCCAAGTTATTGAATATTTCATATTCCATCGTATCCCCAAGCTCTTTTGAGATTTCTGGCAAAGAACCTATAATTCGCCAGTGTTCTTCTGCGGTTCTCCAATACTCTGTATTGTAGGACACACACATTCCAGGCCGAAAATTAGATTTTTGTGGAGGGCGAAGTCCATATCCCATACCGGAATGACTATACAGCTCTGCATATCTGATTTCATCTGTGGTTGGTCTGGTATCTTCAAGGCTGGAAAAAAACATGCTATAATAGGTTTGTCGAAGTGCAGTAGATAATACCGTGGGGTGCTTTTGTGGGAGTGATTGAGCCAGGATATCCTGTAAACATTCCTGGCTATGAGAATGAAACCCCATCCTTGTTGCAAATTCGTGGTCGAGCAGATACTCCTTCCCGAACAGTAGATTTGGTGTCTTGACGAACTCAAGAAAATGTAAGCGAGGGTCCTTGGAGACCAAACTCCAAATTGGCACTGGGACGGCAAGCAAGACCAGTGAGGCATTGTCGTGGACGAGCCCGTAAACCCTAATCGATAAGGCTAGAATAGGAAGCTCCTTGAGCCAAGCTGCTATGTCTTCGGCCGTCAGTCTGGACCCGGGGCTTAAACGGACAGAGAATAAAACATCAGTGTATTCATCCGAATCCTTGTCACTGGCAACATGTTCTGCCGAATTGAGACCCGATATTCTTCTACCTGCTGTAGGCAGCACAATACTCCGTGTGATATAGGTCTGCTTTGTGTTGAGGGCCATGTAGATTGGTGATTTTCTCCTTTCTATATCGGTCATTCTGCCATCTTTGCGGTGCTCCATCAGTCTCTCGTAATCCGATTCAGGGCTCCAGCGACACTGTTGCTGAAGGACCCGGTAATGAAGAGCTGCTACTGAGAATGATGGTCCGGATTGAGAGCTTTCAAGTGCTCGAATTAGTGCGTGTGTAAATGAGTGCCCTCTGTCTGCTGAAGCAGCGGTTTCGAAGCCACAGGCTGCAATTATTTCCTTGGTCCCATTGCGCGCATCAAACCCGGCACCCCCCGCAGAGCAACAATCCAAAATAAATAACACATCACTTTTGGTGTTGGCAAACAATGGAGCATGTGCGAACCATTGCACTGTTGGGTTATCACTTTCTGTAGTATCCGCATCTGGGGGATAACTATAATGTCGAAATCAGCAATGCCAATCGTATAAACTATTATTTGATATCACGCTGAGATGGAATTTTTGTTTACTATATGAAAGACACCTATGCAGCTGCTTAGACGCACCATGACCACATTAGCTGGCGATTACTATTGAGATATCCGTGTCCAGCATAATAGATAATGACAAGATGCTTTTCTGAAGGGTTTTTCTGCCGAATTTCAAATAGTTTTTGGACGACCGCGTCATCAGAGTCAGTCGCTGGGATTCTCCAAGACTCCACTTCGTATCCATATCCGATCATGAACATGTCACTCAGCTCCCGAACTTCCTGGCTTATACCCAAATCATCGTATTCCCAGGAGAGCAGAAGGACATATGTCGAGGTATATCGAGACGCGGAGTTTGGGAACGCTGCGTTGGCGGCATCCTCCACCTTGCCTAACGTCTCTCGCAAATCTGCAATTGCGGCGTTTGGGGAGTTTGCGTCCGTGTCAGACATGCTGTGCAATATATATCGTGAAGTGAAAATAATTTTTGAGTCGTAGACATGGGCATAAGTGTCAATAAGTGTCCTGTTATGTCACTTAGTGGAGACGGTGATGGGGATAAAATGCCACACTGGTAAGAAGAAGTGTGCTCATCATACTGATATAATGGACTGGTTACAAAGTCTTATGATATTATCAGACCACATTGAGCGCCTCATCGGATTGAATTGGTTGGCTATCGAGTCTTTATACATGTGCTGTTCTGAAAAATTGGCTCCTTGAATCACGCGCACTATTTTTGATGGTGTAAGCATGGGAGCGGAGCCTTGGTGGTATGACAAGACGTCTTTGGTCTTGGGAAGCAGCATAATTGAACCTCAAAACCATAAAACTTAAAATTAATGAACCACATTGGTCAATTTTACATCTTATCAGCAGAGGCAATGATCTAGATTCTCTAAAAGAGAGTTCCTAGTCAATCACCTGCTGATCCATGATTTTATTGTAAGACCTGTATCATGATCACGGAAACAGACGTCGAGACTTTTTGAGAAGCTTTGCAAGTTTGGATCAGTCTAAATAGATTGCCACCGTCGAAAGTATTTCAGGAAGTTCGGTTGTAACTCCTTCAGAGGTCTTCTAAATCATTCACCCAGTATAATCCACCTTTTTTTCCCTCCAAAAATAATGGCGGATACAAATGACTACCAGCAGTATACCAGGTCATTGGATAGCTTGTCCATTGGAACGCCTGTGTTCCATCCAGCAACAGACCTAACTCCAGGGAGTTGTGGCTATTTTGATAACCGTGGGAGATGGAAGAAACTCCTTGACATTCCATCCATTCGGCCTGGCGATTCCCACTATACAGCAATCGAAGATTTAGGACCACTGACAATTGCGCCGCGTCAGAACTGGGGCCCAATGTACGGGAAAACGGTCAAGTGCTGTGGAATAGATGTGAAAGCCGATATGCAGTAAGTATCATGTTCCGGAAACGGCTCTTCCAGGACTTAACAAACCCAAGGATGCCTAATGCCCCGGTATCGGCGGGCGTTAATCTGAACTTCGAAAAGTCCAAGGATTTTGGAGCGATTCTACTTGTTGAACCAGTAAAATTGGCTTCATTCTCTTATCCAAAGATCTTCGATACGTGGTGTAGGTCGAATGGGTCAGCAATTATCCAAAGTGGTGAATATGGTCAAGATGTGAAAAAGCATGGGCTTTTCATTATCACCGAAGCTTATACTACTCATCATTGCTCCATAATAACCTGGAGAGGAAGCAATAACAAGCTTGGGATTGGCGTGAATGCAGATGCATTCTGCGCTGGGAGGCTAACAGGCCATGGGTTTTGGTCTCTAGCTACCAACACAGGTGCAATTCGAGACTTCCCTCGTCAACCTGACGAGGTGAGTACAATTAGCCCTTAAACACGGAGGTCTTGCACACAGTACAAGTGTACACATTGCTAATCATATGAGTATAGGGTGAGTATGCAGTATTTGTCGGAGGTCTTGAGTACAAATTCGACTGGCTGAGAGCGTTGGTCAAGCATGAGGTGAGCGGTGCTTGCATGCATACATGTGTTGGAACCTCGATTGACCGAGAATTAGGAGCCTCTTAAGGAACGTAAACGTGGACCAGACGATGAATTTACCCCCTTTGGTGCTTGTACATCTGGTGATTACTACAGTGTAAAGTGCTCTAGAAAGCACTTGGCTCTTCCTACTACTATTTCCCAGCCATTGGAACATGATGTTGAAAATGTAAATCTTCCGTTCAACTGCAGAAATTAATGAAAAGGGGGAAAATCGCTGGGTTTTTATGCACTAGTGCTACCATCTGAACTCTTGACTGGTGAAGGTTGTTGATTTTTTAACTATGATGCAACTATATAGCGGAAGCTATATACACTGTAAGGATCCACTATAGGCACAATCCCTGACATAATGAAATCCCTGGTCAGGGTTGTCTTCACGGGTTTACCGATGCCATTTTATAAAGGCCATTAGCTCGGAGAATAGCTCCTCAATTGGATTCAGATCCGGTGAATATGGAGGTAAATATACCAGCTTAGCCCCTGATTGCGAACACATCTGCTCTATGCTCTCCGAGTGGTGGAAGGATGCATTATCCATGTCTGGCAAGAGATGCGCTTGTATGGCAGGATACAAGGGAGATCAAACACGCTCAGTTAGTCGCCACATTATTACGTTTCAAGACAGAGGCTGGTAACAAGGCTCCGGAAAACAGTCCAAAAGTAGCTTGGCGTAATTTTGGTTGGGGCTCTTGAAAGTTGAAACAAAGAAAGAAGTATAAACAGTTGCGCTATTTTTATCCACGGGAACAGACTTCCTCGTATGCCCCTACCTTGGTTACTTGGACCGTTAACACTGTAGTCTGCCCTTCATAGTTGAGGAACGTTCACCCTTCCTTCTACACCCGTCCGGCTAATTCATTTCGATCCAAATGGGGGTACATGGGCTGAACAACCTCCGGATTGTGTCCGCTACCAGATCGAGTGGAGGTATCAATCAAATAATCGAGTTATGGTGAAGAAAACAGAGCAAGATTTGACTCACGTGTTTAGGACCTCATCTAGAATATTCGACAAATTTGTAAGAACATATACGGCGTTTCTACAACGACTTATTTAACAATATAATATAATTCAGTACAATACCACCAAGCAGGGATTGTTTGTAAACCATCCGGATACAGATTATGGCATTATGATACAGCCCAAGAAAGAATTCGGAATATGTTTTCGACTCCGACTGTACAAGACCGCCTAAACGCCATGAAATATGATCAGAATCATTAAAAACCCATGAAACTATCAATAAAACTTTGTATTCGGGGGGAGTCCATTATCCTGGTCATCTTTCTGTATTCATCGTCAGTACGCTAGATACCTCCTATAGTTATATCGTTATAGATAACAAAGGAGCCCTTACTAGTGCATCCCCAAGCCCCTTTACAAGCGCAATTTCGTGGTCACAGAGCGCCTTCTGTTCAGATCCAAAGTTGGTGAAGGTCGTTGCAACATCAAAGTCAATCCAGACCAGTCTATCGGGGTTTCCATGAACAATGAGAATGTTTTTGGGGTAGATGTCCCGGTGGTGAACACCGGCACTGTGTATCTGCCTTCATACCCTCGATTGCCTGGGAATACAGCGTATCTGAGTAGTTCACGCAGTTTAAGCTCTCTGTATCTGGGAGATATTCTAGCAATATTGCACTCGGCTTTAACTTGTCTTTGGCGAAACCTTGGAGAGTAGGATGGAATGCATCCGGATCCATTTCATTGATGTAGCCGTAGAAGTTTGGAACGAAGCGGCGTTCACAGACACCAGAAGTAAAGAGCTTCTCGTATGCCTTGGATTCACAGCGAAATCGGTTTAGATCACGACCTTTCTCGGTATATTAAGGATCGCCGTCATTGTGGAAGAGTTTCAATGCATAGTTTTGTCCATCCACATGTACCTCGAATATTGAAGACGCGTCAGATTGCACAATCTCCCTAATAATATTAATTCTGGAGGGATCAATGTCCACTAAGGGTGCGTTTATGGGAGGCATTGTTATCCTGTTGGAAGTTCTATTTCAAGGCGGCAGGAGCAGATAGGTCAACAAGCACCAACAAGGGCTTGGCTGATCGAACACTATGTTGTCAGATAGGTACTCCGGAAAACCCCCGAAAATGTATTAGTGTTCCTAATTAAGGTTCGGGAAACAATCTAAGAGTATAGCTTCATTTTCGAGACATACTGTATTGTTGAACCAGTAGTTCCATACATTAGATAATTAAGTAGGCGTTTTTCTGCTGAATTGTCGTGATTAAAGTTGTACAAGTTGTATTTGTGATTATGCTATGCGCTTTCTGTCCTGTTACCTACCGGTTGGTACTTGATCCTAATTTATTTTTCGAGCATTTCTTTGCATCGTACAGTCCCCACAACAGCAGCTCTTTTCTAATGACAGAGCAGCATGAATGTGACTATTCTAACGACTAAATGTCAAAATACATTGACGACACAATTATGTAGAAAGACCTACTGTATTATAAGACAGGGATGAGAGTAAAGGAGGAGGGCTTGATTGCTCCTAGGGTTTACCGGAAGAAATCCACGAACGAGAACATTAGATGATGGCAATTTCAACTAGATGAACAATTCAAAAAAAAAAAAAAAAGGGTAAGTAAAGTGTCTGCTAAGACACAACCGTCACAGCTGGAATTTCTGTCATGCTACTCTCAAAAGATTCGCCTGCCGATGAGATACTTTAAGGCTGAGACACCTACCCCGTTGTTGTATTTCTATCAAGTTAATCAGAATGACAAGGAAAACAGATTCTATTTACGCAAAAAATTAATAGAAAAGCTAAGTCCGTCATTTCCTGGCTCGAACTAGCTGCAGACAAGGGTGACGACGCACTCAAACGCTTGCGTTAGCTTGCACAAGACATGGCTCTTGTGGTTATGGTGAGGCGAAGTCTGATGTTGTCGATAGTAATGGCTACGGTGCCAAGTCCATACAACCTTACATTCTGGTTGTAGTAGGAGCTGTATGACCAAGTCCTGTGTAATCTATTGGTTAAATAGCACTCCAAACATGGTATGCGTCAGTCGGCGTGATCTCCCATAACCTCCTTTTGGGTACTTTAGCCAGCATTCCGGGGAGATGACGTCCTACTTCCTCACGTGGATGATGCTGTTTCAATTACAAATTTCAATTCAAGTATGTATCAGACAAAGGGCTGCATCCTATTTACATGTCAACGACTGAGACGGCCGCGCGTTCTGTTCCCCATAAACTGCCTTTGACGTAGTTCAAGACTGGGCCCATACCCTTGGACCTGCAGTAGTTTTCCCCACCTAAAATTAGTAAGTGAGAATTCCGAGCCAAAGTATACCAAAGATCACCAAGGTGGAAAGTTATTACTTGCAGAATAGGCAAGGGGCATTCCTCGGACATTAGAATCGCAATGATCGACAACTTTACTACCTACTTGGTCTATAAAGGTCCGTCCTGCAAGGGATAAACCTGTTTATCTTATTTCACAGCTCAGCCCATATTCAGAGGCGAATTCGCATGGAGAGAATTCATCATGGAGAACACTCTTATTTGGACAACCATACCCCGTGTTGGCCCTATGTTTCAGCCCATCTGAGGTAACCCCTAGTTCTGCTCTTCAACTGGTAGTATCACAAAATGGAGGCCATGGATACTGAAAAGGTTCCGCAGGCTCTCTGCAAAGAGTCGAGGATTCCATCCCCGACGGAATCCTCCCAGACCTTCGACTTGGAGTGCGAATACCATGACCCCAAGCTGCCTCCAGTAGATGGAGGACTCCACGCTTGGCTTTTCCTAGCGGCATGCTTTGTGGTGGAAGGCACCGTTTGGGGTGAGTTAACCATGTCTGACCTGCTACAATAGCATCTGACAATGAGCTGCGTTAGGATTCGCCGCATGTTTCGGTGTATTTCAAAACTACTATCGAAATGACCCGGCATTCCAAGGGTCCCATGCTATAGCTGCGATAGGGACCTGCGCAATGGTCAGTTAGAGTATCCCGCCCCATAGGTACATGTCGACCTGCTAATAGCAACAGGGCATGGCGTACCTGCTATCCCCCATCGTGATGGCCATCTTGATAGCCCTTCCTCGACTGCAAAGATGGGCATCCTCGATAGCATTCGTAGTGTTATCGCTTTCCCTGGCCCTGAGCTCATTCTCCACAAACGTCACGCACCTAATCCTGTCCCAAGGCATCGCATACGGCACCGCAGGCTGCTTTGCCTACGCGCCATCGATCCTCTTCATGCCAGACTGGTTCGTCAAAAAGAAAAGCCTCGCCTTCGGCATCGTCTGGGTAAACCACGCACCCAACCTCCCTCCCCCCCTTTATCCAAACACCCCAACACTAACACCTAACCAACCACACAGAGCGGTTCCGGCCTAACGGGGATAATCTTCCCCCTGATCCTCCAATCCCTCCTGGACGCCTATGGCTGGCAAACCACCCTCCGAATCTGCTCGGTAGCAATCTTCCTCCTCGCAGCGCCCTTCATGCTGTTCCACCGACCACGTCTCCCCCGGACAACCACCAACCTGCACCAGCTGGACCTCAGCTTCCACCGCAACCGCACCTACCTCATCTACCAAGCCTGCAACGTAGTCCAATCGCTGGGCTTCTTCGTGCCCCAGCTCTTCCTCCCCAGCTACGCGGGGCTGCTCGGCGCCAAGGGCCTCGCGGCGTCCTCCACAATCACCGTGTTCAACATCTCAGCCATTTTCGGCTGCATCCTCATCGGATGGCTGGCAGATCGGTACCACGTCACGAAATGCATCCTCATTTCCACGGTGGGCGGGGTGTTCTCCACGTTCCTGCTGTGGGGGCTGAGCGTGCACCTCGCGCCGCTGTATCTCTTTACGATCGTGTACGCGTGCACGGGGGCCAGTTTTTCGTCATCGTGGGCTGCGACTTCGGCGGAGGTCAGGAAGAGCCATCCGTCTGCGGACGTGAGCATGGTTTTTGCGTTTCTGGAGACGGGCCGCGGCATCGGGAATGTGATTAGTGGGCCGTTGAGTGAGGCGTTGTTGAAGACGAGGTTGTGGGAGGGCCAAGCGTGGGGGGCTTATGGGACGGAGTATGGGATTTTGGTGGTGCTTACCGGCGTGACTGGTCTTCTTGGGGGGGGTGTCGGTGGTGGCGAGGGCTTTGCGGTGGATTTGAAACTTTTGCTATCTGATAGCGGTGGGTTGGGCTGTGTTAGATGGTTGTAGGCGTTTGTATGTAGACCGTTGGGTGTGGGCGTTATAGCGGGCATGATTTCACTGAAAGAACTTTATGTATTTATGCACAATGCTTGCTGTATGATTATTCAATAACTATCTCCTGTCTATCATATACATGGATATAAGAAACACTATACACATGATCGCATGATCACATACCAATCATCAAAGATATGCACCCAAAACACCCAAAACTCCACTGTTGCTATATGTAAACGGGAATGTAAAAGACGCTTCTTCCACGAATGCCTGCTCCGGGCGGAGAGCCCAGAGCGCAGCAGCTTCCTCTATGCACGCACAGCTGCCATGCCAGGCCCCTTGATGTGAAATCACACCGCAGAGCACGGGGTATTATACTTAATTTAAAGACTCTCGCGAAGCCGCTCCTGCCAGGTCTTCGGCCTCGCCGTTTCCCAGGAGTAGTTCTGGAGGCGGCCCGATTGCAAGTCTGCTTCGAGCGGGTGCACGAAATGGGTGCGGTAGAAAATCTTGTGGCCCAGGTACAGCACCACGAAGATGATCACGCAGATGTAGGCGACGAAGAAATCCGAGACATTGAAGGTAGGAATCCAGGCCGTGAATCCTTGGGTCATGATGATCAGGACACTGAAGAAGAGTCCGTACCATGTCAGGTAGGGTTGGAGGGCGGCCTTGTAGGGTAGGGTGTCACGGGAGATGTCGCGCGCCTTCAGGGCACGCATGAAAGCCAGGTGACTCAGACTGATGGACGTCCAGCAGATGAATCCAGCCACACTGGAGATGTTGACCAGCCAGTTGAAGACCTTTCCACCGGATTCAGAGACGTTCATGAACCCGAGAAGTCCGAAGGCGGCCGTGAAGGCGACGCTAATATAGGGCACACCACGGTGACTGACCCAGCCGAAGATTGGGGGCGCAAACTTTTCCTGAGCCAGGCCGAGGAGCACACGACTGCCACTGTAGACGTTGGAGTTGGCGGCCGAGAGGACCACGGTTAGGAGGACGGCGTTGATCAGACTGGGCAGGACCTTTACGCCGGCGAGCTTCGCGGCGATGACCATTGGGGAGGCGGAGGCGTCGCTGGAGTCGGTGATCAGGTTGGGGTTGTCGTAGGGGACCAGCAGGCCCATGAAGAAGATGGTCAGGACAAAGAAGACGAGAATACGGATGAAGGTCTTGCGGATGGCCGAGGGCACGGTCTTCTCCGGATTCTCTGTCTCACCAGCGGCGACACCAACCAGCTCGGTACCTTGGTAGGAGAAACCGGCCTGCACAAGCACGGCCCAGAAACCGACGAACTTGGACACCGGATTGGACGCGTCGATCAGATAGGGAGCAAATGCTCCGGGCTCCTTCCACGTGTGGAATCCAAGGTAGCCCTGCTTTCCAACGCCAGCGTCAATGCAGATAGCGAAGATCATGAATCCCAGGACGGTGAGCACTTTGATCATCGAAAACCAGAACTCGATTTCTCCATAGAAACCAACCGGGAGGAAATTGAGAAGGGTGATCACTACCCAGAAGATGGCGATGAAGATGGCTACCGACAGTTTATCGTCCCAATACTGAACAATCAGACCGGTGGCAGTCAGTTCCACAGCGTATGTCGAAGCCCAGTTAAACCAATAAATCCAACCCATGGCGCATCCCAGACTGGGATCGACGAGTCGTGCGGTGTAGGAGGTGAAAGAACCGGAGATGGGAAGATACGTTGCGACCTCACCTGCCATGGATTAGTACCCCGCACGTTATCTGATCTCAGGACCACCAGTATCTTACCTAGTGAGGACATGACCGAGAACACAATCGAACCAACGAAGATATAGGCGATGAGGCACCCGCCGGGCCAGAGTGTGCGATGGCTGTTCCACTACTGATGAACAAACCCGTTCCAATTGTACCACCTGTGTCATGGTTAAACCCAGTTCCGATCACTTTGTATATCAGATCCTGACTGACCGATAGCAATCATCTGCAAATGTCTGCTCTTCAGCCTGCGCTGCAAGTCATGCGGCGGCGTATCCCCTCCAATTCCATCCTTCTCCACATCTTCATTTCCATTGCCATCCTTCTTCTTGCCAAACTTCTTCAGAGGGTTCGTGCTCTGCTTGATGCTAATCTTATCACCGTCGTTTCCAGCAGCGGTTTCCGTCACCTGCGGCGCAGGGGTGACCTCGTCAATGGCCATCCCGGCCGAATATTATGTTGTATATTGGACAGGGAAAGGTGACTCGTGAGAGGGAAAGAGAGAGGGAGGGGATTGGGACGCGGTTACGTGCATGCACGAGTTCGATACGAGTTCGATGATCGGTGTCAAAGAAGGAAAAAGCTTTCCGAACAGATTACTACGTAGTCATACGGTTGGGATTTTT